CAGCGGGCTTAGTTTAAAGCCTGGTGGAGCAGGTCAGCCAGTCTGGCTGAGAAGAGCCTCCTCCCTAGGGGAGAGAGGTGGAGGCCATCTCTTCCCAGCAGCTCGCTGCCTCTCTTGCCAAAGAGCGGGCTGTGGTCATGAAAGATAAACCCAGAGATTTCAAATAGGAATTGATAGTGTTGAGCCCCAGCTCAAGTCTGGGATCGTGCCCGGTATGCAAAAGCCAATAAAGATACCAGGGGTGAAAGTATAAAGATTTATTGCTAGCAATACAAGGTGCAAGCGGAATAATTTCACGTAACAAGCACACAGAGTCTTAATTATGAGCATCTTTTATACAGGAGTATTGGACCTTCATAAGCATTCTTGTTTGCTAATTGGTTATAAGGGAGTGACGCAAGGAGTTCTTTACTGCGCATGTCTCTATACCTGTGTTTTAGCTATGTATCTCATTTCCATACATGTATGTTTCATTAGCATACTTTCTCCCCACCTAGGGGTGTGAATCTTAATATTTAAATCAGCTCTTTGCCCTACTCCACTAATTTTATTTTTGTTTTCAAGTCTCCTTTATCTAAGACTGTCTTCTCCTTATCATTGCAATTGAGCATTAGTTACAGAACAGAGACTTTTGCTTGGGCTATGTGTAGTGGTTTCTAGGTCAAACCTAACAATAGTGTCAAAATCATTCTGACCTGTTGTGATCTTCTTGAGTTCGTGCAACAGAATAATTCCTTTATTATTTTTCTGTTGTTAAAAAATGAATGAAAGCTAAGAAATGGCATTTTCTGAGGGGTGCCTCAAGTTTGATTTATAACAGACAAAGCCTGGACTTCACCTGTAACTGCCAACCTCCAACCAAAGGATTCCATCATCAGTACTGATTTATTCATGAAAAAGGGAAAGTTTTATTTAATATATTCATAGTCTTCTGATGTTTGTCTTTATGAAGCAATCCCTACCCAAGTAACATAATAAAATTCTTCATAAAGACCCCTGGTAGTTACTTAACATAAAACCATTAGATCTAATTGAAAGCCCTTTATGTCATGTCCCTTAAATTCCAAGCATGCTCTTCAAGTCCCACAAACTTGAGCAAGTTCTGTTGATAAAACATTATTTAGATGCATTGTTTCCATTTGGAAAACATAGGTTAATAAACAATGGTCATCGATACTGCAATAATTAATATATATGACTACCATTTTCCATTCCCTTAGACAAGTGGTTGTCAAGTTAAAGTTATAGCCACTTATATTCATTTTATGCTATCCCTTTTGTATCTCCATATTATTTAGTTTCTATGTAACTTAGCATAAGTGTAATGTCATTTTGTTTGAATGTGGTATGCATGTGAAGGGAAGCTTGTTCTAACAACCAAGGATCACCATGACCTCTTGCCCCTATGATTTCTTGCCTCCACAGCTGAAGACTGCAGATGCAGCAAAGTCTGACCCTAAAGACAGGAACAACACATCAAGAGGAACAAGACTGAAGACTGCCTGTAATCCTTCAATGACAGAGACCTATCGGTAAACAAGCCTGTAAAATCAGCACCTGGGATCATGACAGATCAGCCTGGTCAGAATGGAAAATTACTACACGCTGGACAAAGACTTGATGCCCCCTATAAAAAGGAGAGATTTAGCAGCAAGAAATTGGGCAAGTTCCTCACAACAACAATGGAGCATTGGTATGTATCTGACAGAAGCCCAGCTCCCTCCTTGTGCTCAGCTTAGCTGGCCACTAAGCTGACTCAAGCAACTAAAGACTGGTAACATCTTAGCATTTGCAGAACTGTTTGTGTATAGAGTATGTGTGTGAATGCAAATGTGATGCTCTAATGTTTTTGTATACTCAATAAACATAGATTCATAGATGTTAGGGTTGGAAGGGCCTCAATAGATCATCGAGTCCGACCCTCAACATGGTGTATTGCCTTATCCCGATAAAGATCTTGCTTGTTTTCAATACACTGTATGCCCAGTACATACAACTCGGTGGGCAATTATTTGGACTGGAGGGCTACTCAGGGAGCTTTGGTGAGTTGTTGCAGGCTGGGTCAGCACTCCCACTTCCCTGGAACAGCTCACCAAAAGTCCCTAAGAGGCTCTGCCCCTCACAGGCAGATGGGATGGGGCTACAGACAGGCACAGAATGGCATCTGGGAGTGGGATGGGCAGATGGGGCTGAGGCTGGGACTGCAGGGAAGTGACAGAGTGAGGCTGTGACCCAGTGCAGAGCTATGATCTGATTCCCACATGCTCATGATAGGCGCCAGTTCTGTGGGCAAGGTCACGCAGGGAGCAGATTGCAGCTCTGTCCCAGGCCCCAGCCCTGTGCTGTCACTATCCCATGATCCCACAGTCATAATGGAGACCATCTGGGACCCACATGGGTAGTATGCACAGCCAGGTGGACAGGATGGGGCCAGAGGCAGGTGGGAAGCAAGGTCCAGGAGTGGACAGGTGGGGCCAGGGCTAGGATTGTAGGGCTGTGATAGCATGGAGCTGGGGCAAAGGGCAGAGCTGTGATCTGCTCCTAGCATGCCCCTGCCCATGGAACCAGAGCCTATGTGTTTGAGGAGCAGATCACAGCTCTGCCCTGAGCTCTGGCCTCACAGTGTCACTGCCTGGCAATTTGAACCCATCCCACTCCAGGACACCACTCCCCATTTGCCCACAGCCCCATCCCATCCACCTGGCCATGTGCTTTGCCTGCATGGGTCCCAACTCAGCGGGTGTGGGGTAGACGGGCCGGGGTTCTCAAGCAGTGGGGCCAGGTCTGGCAACAAAGGCAACACTGGCAGCAGCAGTTGGAAGGAGCCACCAGCCACCACGTAGCCCCAGCTCTGCTGTGTACCCTGTGGGGTGGTGAAACCAGCCTCATGCTCTATGGCCCGAGCTGCCCCCCGTGCCTGGGCTGAGCCAGACAAAATCCCTTGGTGAGCCAGATTCCCACCCCTGTATTTTGCCCACCCCTGTATTAGACCCTCAAACCTCCTGAAATCACAGAACCCTTTCATATCACTTCTCCTGTGGAGACCCCTACCTGTATCCTAAATGCTGGCATGGAGCCAGGTAACTCAGCCCATCAATGGTGGTGCACCACCTTCCAGCCCACTGCACTATTACCTCCAATCTCTTTGAAGAACACCTGATGGCCTTATGTGTAACCCTAGAGTTCCACAGAACAGAGTTTGAAAACCACTGCCTTTAACCAAATCTAAGTGGCATTTTAATACAGTTTAGATTGATTCTGTTGTAGACCAGTTACCTCACACTTTGCAACTCCAGAACAATTGCTTTTCTTGGTCTTGCAGAAGATACATCACTGAATGGAATTTCCATTTTAACCTATATAGCAGGAGTTCTCAAATATCCACATTATGGTCTTTGCTAATCTTTACTTTCTTATTTTCAGTGATCATACTGAAGAATCACGAAGCACAGTGCAAAAAATATCACCAATTTTGATCTTCGCATATGGAGATAAAAATCATTCTTCCCAGGAAATGTAACTTAAATCTAATGGGCAAGACTTTGAAAAGTGCATTAATGACTTATGAGAACAAGTCCAATCTACTTTGTATAGGTCTTCCATTTCCAACTCCATTGAAAAATCTTTCATTCCCTCTTTTCTGGGAGATTCTATAGGACATCTAAAATATATAATCCCCCCAAAAGGGCTCAACTGTCCAAAACGTTTGGGTTCTAACCTGGCATGTTTCCTTCTCCTCCCTAGACGTGCCTAATTTGAACTTCCTTCCTCTATTCTCTTTTTGGCACCTAAACTCTTTGTCCTTATTTAACACCACTGTGATAGCAGATGTGTTCTTTAATGAAAGAATGATACAGACACGTTGATTATTAGACTTTTTATTTTTTTATACTTTCATCCCCGTCACTTTCATCAACACTGAAATTTTCGAGTACATAATGTGATTATTTTAATTTGAATGAAAAGATAGTTATTTATCAACTGGTAAATATCTCCTTGTATATTACAAAAATATAATAAATATTCAGTTTAACTTAAAAAATAAGTCTCTTTCTGGCCAATAACCTTATATTCCAAATGTATTATGAGGCAAGGGTAGACAACCAATTTAAACTGCTGTAAATGAGATCAATCAATTTCACTAGCTACATTTTAGTTTACATAATAATACAGATCAACTACTTACCCACTGTGTCAATAAGTTCTCTGACGTTTGTTGGACTCTTCTGTAGGTGAATCTGCCAGTCTTACTTTAAGTCTGACGCCATTCACAACCTTGCCATGTAATGCAGTTATAGCATTGTTGGCGCTTGTTCTGTCTGAAAACTTGGCATAGCCTACATTTTTTCCTGGCACACGGTAAACCTCAATAAGGTGTCCAAACCGACTAGAAAACACCAACAAGGAAAAAACAAGTGAAGTTATAAACTGCATAATATTACCAACTTGTAAACACTGCTAAGCTATGATACCCACAATTGTGCATCAACTACATACTACTTTAACAGTGACAGTAAGTTTTACTTCCACGGATCTGGCAGCTGATTTTGCACTGCCCTCCCCCATATCTCCCTCCATTTTAATTGCCCCAGAAGATGAAGAAAGAAAAGCAAGAACTGTTATACCAGAACCTCTAAGCTAGGACTGTCCACCTTATTTGGCCCCATGAATCCAGTACTTCTTATGGACCAGACAACCAACTTCTAGCAGCAGGAGGCAGCACTGACACGGCTTCAGAATCCAGGGATGTGCTGGCACCATTCACCCCTGCTTCTTCCCGCTGATGCTGATTTGAGTTGCCAGTGATGACTGAAAACCCTGAATTTAGTTGCAAGCAGGGAGGCTGGGGGGTGAAGAGCAGCAGTGTTCCCCCTGGGTTCCAGAACCATGCCAACAGTGACCCTGGCATCTGCACTGACAAACCCTGCAGGCCCCAATTTCATCCTTTATGGGCCACACACAGGCCATGGGCTGCCCCTTGGAGAGCCCTGGTCTAAGCAAACCAACAATAAGCCTACACCATATGAATTACCAACGTTTTGCCTAATACACCAGGGAAAGTATATTAGGTAATACACCTGATTGACATCTTGGTTGGAAAAGATAAGTGGCAGTATTTCTGGCAAAAGTTCTTGAGCTCCAGTGTGACCAATGGAAATGGATGTTTGTTCACTTATGATTTCCATTTTGAGAATAAAAAGATATTTTAACGTTTTTACAAAAAAGTGTCATCCCTTCCTAAGTTACTAGGTAGTTCCAAAGCAGGGTCACAACGTACAGAAAAAGAAAAAAACACCACTTGTATATTATGTACTTTTTACTAGGTTGTAATTTAGATGCAAAGACAATAATGAGTTGCTGTCCTTAGCTCTAGACTCCAAGACCCCAAAGAGGTACATTTTAAATTCCTTATAACTCAGCATTATCAGTTTCTTCTGTTTACCTGCTTTAAAGTAGTTGAAATTTTTAAAGAGCTGTTCTAAGTCTCTCCAATAGAGATGCCAGAAAGTTGTCTTTGTGGACAGTAAGTCCTGCTACAAAAACTTAAACTTAGAGAACAACTATATGGTGAAACAGAATTTTCCCACTGTGAGAGCTTGACCTAAAAGAACAGGAACTTTGCTTAAACATAAAAATCTTGACATACTATAAAATAGTGTTCCTGTATTCATAATTAAACTAAAGCTGCTGCTGCATTTTACACTATATAGGTTCTTTGTTAAAAACAATTGTTTAAAAATTTGTGTTTTTCTGGAATACCATTCTTGTATTCATTATTATTGCTACATCCACTATTACTTTTTGTCGGAGTTTATTAATGTTACTTTTTCACCTAGTTTATTATTAATAAGTTGCCTATTGTTTCTCTCTTACTTACGCCATTTATTCCATGTGTGGAGGCACATGTACCATGCCAAACATAACGCTTAATTTTTTACTAACTGAATCATTGGTGTACTGTGTCTGTTGGTCAGCTTGGCCTTAAGAGAATACTCAACATCAGAGATTCCCATTTTAGAGTGGTAAAATGTTGACTCTTTCAGAAATATATAATAATCCAATAATGCAAGTAGACAAAGCAATACTAAAACTGGTTTTAGAAGACTGAAAGCAAGAATTGTATCTCAGGTCTTGGGGATGATATGCTAGTTGCCTAAAATGATTCCTTGAAGAAAGCACCAAAAAAAATACGTATTACATTGATAAACTTTACACTGTTTCAGATCAAATGTCTGCCCAAGACTAGATGATCCATGGAGTTTCTGTGGATTAGATATATCAGTTTCTGTAGCCAACAGCACACAAGGGAGCAATGTGGATTGCAAATTGGCTGAAGGGTCATACTCAGAGGGTGGTGGTGGACGGGTCATATTCAACCTGGGGGGAAGTGGGAAGCAAAATCCCCCAGGGCTCGGTCCTTGGGCCCGCACTGTTCAATTTCTTTATCAGCGATTTGGATGACGGGGTGAAAAGCAACCTGTTTAAATTTGCTGATGATACCAAAATTTGGGGTGAGGTGGGCACGCTAGTAGGGAGGGAAAGACTGCAGAAAGACCTGGATACGTTGCAGGGGTGGGCTAACAAAAACAGAATGTGTTTCAATACGGACAAGTGCAGGGTGCTGCACTTGGGCAGTAGTAACCAGCAGCACACTTATAAGATGGGAAACTCCCTTCTTGAGAGCATAGAGGCAGAAAGGGATCTTGGAGTCATTATTGACTCCAAGATGAACATGGGCCGAAAATGCGAGGTCACGGTCAGCAGGGCCAACCAGACCATATCATGCATCCACAGGTGCATCTCAAGTAGGGCCAAGGAGGTGATTCTCCCCCTCTATGCGACACTGGTCAGGCCACAGCTGGAGTACTATGTCCAGTTCTGGGCACCCCACTTCAAGAGGGATGTGGACAACATTGAGAGGGTCCAGAGGAGGGCCACCCGCATGATCCGGGGACAGCAGGGCAGACCCTGCAATGAAAGGTTATGGGACCTGAACCTGTTCAGCCTTCACAAGAGAAGGCTGAGGGGGGACCTGGTGACTGTCTATAAATTCACTAGGGGGGACCAGAAGGGTTTGGGGGAGACCTTATTTCCCCTAGCGCCCCCCAGGATAACAAGGAATAATGGCCACAAGTTGTTGGAGAGTTGGAGAGTAGGTAAGAACTACTTCACAGTAAGGGCGGCTAGGATCTGGAACCAACTTCCAAGGGAAGTGGTGCTGGCTCCTACCCTGGGGGTCTTTAAGAAGAGGCTTGATGCCTACCTGGCTGGGGTCATTTAAGCCCAGTTTTCCTCCTGCCCAGGCAGGGGGTCGGACTTGAAGATCTACAAGGTCCCTTCCAACCCTACTTCTATGATTCTATGATATGAATGTGGTTATCACAGGGGTGGGCAATTATTTTGTTAAAGGACCACTTAGGGAGTTTTAGCGAGCTGTCGTAGGCTATGTCAGCACTCACAGCATCCCTCCACAACAGCTCACCAAAACTCCCTAAGTGCTCCCTGCACACTGCCGGGATGGGGGGCAGGGAGCGGCATCTAGGAGCAGGGCAGGTGGATGGGCCAGGCCTGGGATCGCAGGCCAGTCACAGTGTGGGGCCAAGGCCTGGAGCAGAGCTGCAATCTGCAGCCTGCAGGTACCTGCAATGGGTGCCAGTTCCACAGGCAGGGGTGTGCAGGGGGGCAGATCATGCCTGTGACCTGGGTCCTGGCCCCGCACTGTCAACACCCCATGATTCTAGTCCTAACTCCACCCACCCATCCCGCTCCCAGACGCAGCTCACCACCTGCCTGCGACCCCATCCCATCAACTCAGCTGCATGCCCTGCCCACATGGGTCCTGCCCCCAGTGACAGGAGGAGTGGCAGACAGGCCAGGTCCAGCAGAGGTCCTGATCATTAGGACAGGAAGTCAAAGATGGATGGATGACGTACTGATAACCCAGGGGTGGGCAAAATATGGCCCACAGGCTGGGTCTGGCCCACGAAAGCATTTTGTCTGGCCCACACAAGATCCCTTGGCCCTGTCTGGCCAAGGTGCAAGGTGCTGCCTGGCCAAGGTGTAGGAATCTAAGTTACCATGCAAGCATCTCAGCATCTCTCAAATGAAAAAAAAAATGCTCATTTCCAAAATGAAATAGATGCAAGAGAAAATTTCAATGAAATGCTAAAGGAGTCAGTAATACAACCGTTTTCTGCAAATAAACCTTATGAAACTAAACACATCACTTTAGATTAAGTTATCCACAGAGCAAGTTAATGTATTAGTAATGTGCTGCGCTTTTTCAGGCTTTCACCAAATACGACACAAGTCCTCAAAAAATGGATTATGATTTACTGACCACTTCAGCTGCCGTTATTTCCTGATATAATTTTCATGATTTTGATCTTTTAAACTTTTTGCACTATTTCTAAATTTTGCAAAATTTATTCCACTATTTTATTTATAAAAATTACTTAAATGGAAACTTACCAAAACACATCCTCAAATACATGTACAGGTAAAGGGTGGGGATTAAACACTATAAAAAGCCTTTCCTTCACAGAAGTATCAGGTGGAGCTTTTTTTTTGTGTGATGGAAGCAGAGCATCTGTTTGGGGCTGAAGTAACTGAGAGCCAGAACTTTCTCCATAAGCCTGGTAAAACAAAAAGAAAAGGTAAAGGAAGTTTTCCATTTCATCCCACTTAAGACTTCTGTAACTGTTCTAGAGTGCTGGATTATATAGTGATTCTCTGATAGCCAAAGCTTAAGTAATATATTTTTCTTGCACATTTCAATGACAATATTGTTCATGGGCAATATATCCTATTAAGACCAGATCATCTTTAAAAAGAACAGACATTTACAAATCCATCAGCTATATTGGTTTTTTTAAAAACCAAACAGTTCCTAAAGCAGAAAGGGATAAAAGAAGATTTTGGATACTGATCTTCATTAGACACTTCAATTTTTTACAAAAATTGAGCATTGAGGAGAAAATATTAATAGTATACATGGTAATTACTTACAGAAGATGTCCTGTGCTGCTGACTAACTAGATTACTATTCCACACCACTGAGGACACTTGTGCAGTCACCAACTGTGTTGCCATTTTTCTGATAAGGCTACAAACAGAAGTGTCTTTAGAAAAAAGCCACCTTACTACAGTCTTAAGAAATTTGACAATGCAAGAAGATACATCCCAATACACACCTAAAATTATATGTATAGTATAAAATCTAGTCAAGCTTTTCACTTTGCCATGCATAATTTTGAATTTATATATACTTATCACTTTAGCACTTAACATAGACGAAGTAGGATGTACTATGTAGTTCTCTTTTACTTTGTAAAAAATAATTCCACATATCTTGATGTAATAAAACAATTCGCAGCCCACCCACCACGTGGCCCATGAGGTGTTAAACTGAGGCCCCCAGAATCCCTGCCCAGCCTCCCCATAGCTCCAGCTGCAACAGCAGTTAAAGTCTCCATGCTTCCCTTCACTCCTCTGGCTGCTGCTTCCTGCCCTTGCCCCAGGGGATCAGGCAGTGCATCAGCAGAGTGAGCCAAAAGCCATCTCAGGCCACACAATCCTGGGATGGTGGGGGTGAGGCTGCAGGTGTGAGGTGTAGTGGGGAGGACCTGTGCAGGTACACAACATGGGGAGGGGAGGATGACCACATGGGTGAGCAAGGTTTATGGGCATGAAGTGCAGTGGTAAGAGGAGGGTCATGGACAAATGATGCAGTGATGGGTAGGGGCATCTATGGGGCATGCAGCTCAGTGGCCATGGCTCACCCTGCAGGGCATATAGCCCCAGCTGATGCAGCCTGCAGAGCACATGACCCCTGGCTGCTTGGAAGTTGGACAGCCCTAATAAGGCATCCTTCATATACATGAAAAATGCACCCTTTTCTGTAAGCAATGAATAAAAAACAGAAGGGACCGACAGAAATTTTAGTAGACGTATGAAAAATGATTTTCACGAAGTGAAAAGTAATACTTTGATGCCACAAGAATGGACTGTGTAAAGGATGGATGTGGCAAATTAGCAGCTCCTTTTCTCCATGTATTTATTAAATCAAAGCTTTCACAGAGGAAAAAAGCCAATTGAGAAAACTGTTTGTTCAATCTTCCATTATATGTTCTACGAACATCCAAAAGTAAACAAATACTTGAAAATTTGTCTTGTTCACAATCCAGAATCAGCTACATGTATCCCAATATTTTATATTTGGTTATCAATATAGTGAAATGGTAGACTACCTTTTTTGGCAGAGGACCACAATGATCCACCCTGAGTCAGAGGCAGGCAGACAAGCAGGCACTAGGACTCTGCCAGCTTGTCTCCCCAGCAGCAGAAGGAGAGCACCCGCCACCAGCATTTGTCCCCTTGGCAGTACAGGGAGAGTACCTGCAAAATGTACCCACCCTGCTGCCAAGTATCACCAAAGTCCTCAGTTGCCAACCCATGATATAGTGTATTTTGATCATCATCCTTGTTGCATCAGAAGCATACAAAGATCCCATTCACAAGTTAAGAACTGTTCTGAGTTGCCTGAAGTATTTCTTGCACCAAGTTCATTTTTAAATGTCCACCTTTCTTATAATTCTCTTATCCAACAACCACACCCTTGAATTCAGCATTAAAAGAAGGTTTAAAATAGCTTTCAATATATCGCATGTTGGCTCATAATGAGTACTTTCATATACAGACTTAAGAATTTTCTCTTAAAGATGATTTATGAAATAAACTGGGTATTCAAGGGAGTATTTTGTTTTGTTTTTTGATAACGCATATCTGAGAAACATCAGAAAGATGAAGTCCTTGCTTTCTCTATTTTTCTGTATGGTCTCCTGGAAAAAAAAAGAGAAAAAGGAGCTCACCCAAATTTTTAAATGGAGAAACAGACAGTCTGCTGAATCCTTAACACAGATCTTTCATTTCATTTGTAAAGAGTTTAAGTTAAATAACATCTGACCAAAAAATTTCTTCCCTATGTCTGCTCAGGTTCCCTTCTTTGATACCTGCGAAACCAAAACCCTGTTGTTTTTACAGTCATGCAGAAAAGTCTCTCAAAAAGTCTCTTCAAATCAGAAGAGTTCTGTCCAATTTTTATTTTCAAGAAGTCTTCTTAAAATTAAAGAAATATTTTCCCTTTTCCTTTTAAAGAAAAGCAGCGATGTTTGGTGTGTCAAAAAACTTCCCTCTCTGGGAAGTTTGGATGAAACACCTGAAATATAAGAGGACATAACTGTGTAATAGGCATGAAACTGTACAGCAGCAGTAGCTAGGTTTTATTCCCCAACACCAAACATAACTGCTGAAGAGCAACATGACTCTCCAAAATGTGCAGGTCACAACCTACGTGGGTTGCTACTCACTCTGATCCATCACTTCCATCTTCAAGGAAAGCGACTGCCAGCCGATTTCCAGGTGGGTATTCAAAACCATGTAGCTTGTATTTAGCATATACAGCTGATGCTGCACTGCTGTACTGAATCACAGCATACCCTAGAGATGGATAAATTATATATACTTTCAACAGTATCTGGGTAAGTTTAACATTCTGAAAACACTATTAAAGTGAGGTATAAAAAAAGAAAACAATGCATCAGGGTCCAATTTCAAATGAGTCATTACTTTAGTTTTAACATTTTAGAAATCCTTCCCTTCTTTTATTGGCCAAAACTATTCACTGAATATGACCTGTATTTGCAAATAGTTTCACTAATCCCCAAACTCCGTTTTTCAATGAATTTACTATTTGTCAAAGAAATGCCACCCAACTTTTCTTATAAACAGCAGCTTAAAGAAGAATACACCTTGGTGTCTCATATCATATCAACCGAACTGCTGATAAAAAAAAATACTTAACAATGCCCCAGTAAACTAATTTATCTTGTTCCACCACAGCAGTATCAGTAGTGGAATGTTACTGAAGAAATAATAAAATATTTAATTTTAAAAGGTATGAAAGATGAAAGCAACTTATACAAAAAACACACACACATTTCATTTAACAATTCTAGCTATTGTTGATGTCATAAATCTATTGATGACAGGAGTCTATTATGAAATAGCTTTCATTTGATTTCAGCTTCCAAGCATTTGAAACCTGGGGGTGCCTGTACACAAGCGCGGAGGCTGCTCCGACGTGTTGTGATTACAGCACATCACAGAGCATACTTAATTAATCAAGTCTACTGGACCATGGCAATTACTGTACTCTAGCAGCCTTCTACATCTCATGTGTCAGCATCACCACATTTCAAAATGGCAGCGGGGGCGCTTGAACTAAAGCTCATTGGACGGGCTTTAGTTCAACGAGCTAAATGAGATTGAATTCAAGCACTCCCACTGCTATTGTGAAGCATGGGGATGCTGATACACAAAGCGTGGCAGTGCTTTAATTAGAGTGGTTCTTGGAGCCACTTTAATTAAAATGCCACTCCCCCCACCCCCAAAGCATGTGTAAAACTTCCCTAAGAGTTGTTGTCAGCTGATCCCATACATGAAAAGTATCAGGTACTTTCAGGAATCTAGTAAAGGAGATAACCTGTTCAGACCTACTGGTTAGTCAAATGTGGTGATACAGAGTAGAAAGAGTAGGAGGAAAACAGCATGGGTATGTCCAGAGGACCGCGCACATGTAGTTTGCAGTGCTACAGACCCATCTATGGCACCACAAACCACATACGCAAGCAGTCGCCACATTAATTTGTGGCGTGGCAGGTTTTTTTGATGCCAGGAGATCCCAGCATCAAAAAAACCTGAGGCAGAAAAAAGCAGGGCAGTGCAGGTGGCAGCAGTATATGCCACCCGAAACCAGATCTTGCTGGCCAGAGCCAAACTCCATCTGACAGCCAAGCTCTATGTGCCTGGATTGCCACCGATGGAGCCCTAAGAAGCGCCCACAACCTGAGGCAAGGCTGCTGGGGCCAGCCCAGGTGGTGGTCTCAGCCTCCCATTCCCCACCCAGACAAGTAGCAGCGCCACAGCTATGTGCCACTGCTATGTCTCTCCTGGTAAACGCATGTGCACACTTGTCTGAATGCACCCCAAGAGTACCAAATTAGTTTATACTCCATTCCCAAAGAAATATGTATTTTTGAACAAAGGCAACTAAGGAAAAAAAAAAGGGAAAATATTTTCAGAGACATACATTTTTAAGAAGAAAGGGGTTCCGTGCATATTGCCATTTACCATAGTTAGTATGAGGATCTCGCTGCACATCACAGTATTCCAGCCCTGGAACTAGATCAAAGAGGGTAAACAGCTGCTCTTTTATGAAGGGGAGTCGTGATGCCACTGACAGGCGTTTGGAGACTGATTTCTGAATTCTGGTCTCATTTTTTTCAAAACTGCAAAATTCTGTCTGCCCTCCTCAAGAGCCAATAAAAAACAAGAATAAAAATAAATTACAAGTCATGATACTGTTACGTCTTAATGTCAAACACCATTTTAAAAATGTCTAGGACCTAAGTCAAGTAAAAATGAAGTGCTTATTTCATCAATGCACACTTATTTTCTTCAAACAATTAACACAAGGCAAAGTGTAAACAAATAAAATAGACAGGAAGCCTGAATACAAAAATTATGCGTCTGAATTGGAAATGAAACCAGACACCCAGGGTGTGTCCAGACAAGCCCACACGTCTCTTGCCGCATCTCAAAGCAGTTTGAGACGTGGCAAGAGGCACACTGAGAACAAAAAAAAACAACATTCCCAGTGCTGCATATTTGCAGTGCAGGCTCAAAATTTGATACCTGGATAGCCAGGACAGCCCCCAGGCAGGTCCATGCACGCAGGACCCAGCCTGGCACATAGGCCGTCCCTGCGAGCAGCACTGGCCCTCAGGTGACATCCTGAGCAGCCCAGAGCTCCCCGAAGGGGCATGGCCCCGCACTGAGCCAAGCCAGGCCCACGCAGTGTGGCATAAGCAGCATCTGGTACCAGGCACCTGGAGCCGAGCCACGCTGCCCCACACCACATGGGGCAGGGCTGTGCCAGGAGGGCCCCCGAGCACCCACTGCTGCTGTGGGGGTGAGCTGTAGGCCCTGGTGGGGGGGGGGCTGTAGCCCTTGGGCATGTGGGCCCTGCAGGGGGGCTTTGGCTCCTGCGGTGGGCTGTGGACCCTGTTGGGGGGGCTGTGTCCCCTGCGGGGGACATGGGGCTCACCCCTCCTGAGCAGCCCCCCTACACAGCCCCCCACACCCACAATTCCCCCATAATCTACCCACAAACTCCACACACCTCTCACCCATATACCTGGCTCCATGGGCAGGAGTGAGGGGATTGGGGCAGGCTGTGGGTTCAGAGTGAGGGGCGAGGGCAGGGGCAGGGCACTGGCATATCAGTGCTGCTCAGCACTGCACATCCTGGTGAACAAAGGGGGTAGGGACAACTCTGAATTTTCTATGACAAAGCAGCCAAAAGTAAATGCCAACGTGTATAGATTTAGAATTTATTATGATGATAGAGGCACTGGTAGGCTTCCAAACTGCTTTAAACTTGTAAATATATCAATAAAACATTGCCCAATTGATCTCTCTGTATCTAGTGGCATTTCATTTTAATAGCGAAAAAACACTATGCAGGGTATTTTAATGAGCGAATGTCCGGGCACGTGTGCCGAGGCAAAAAGCCCTGGCTCAAATTTGTGCTGCTCCTCTTTGAGCTGCTGCAAGCACACATGTCTGCATGCGTGGATACGCCCCTAAACTCTGTGTTTTAAACACTAATGGAGTCTACTTGTTGCTTCTCTGTTCTACACAAACATCCCTCTGAAACACTCTTATCATTATTTTATGATCATATTAAGAGACTTACAAAACATTACTAACATGATCAAGTTGTTACTTACCAAATGGAAACATATTCCCTCTTGATTCCTGCTCAGCACTACCATAACTAATGTAATTTTCATGTTCAGAGGATTCACATGGCTTTTTTCTAGGTTCAGCCAAAATGGCCCTGTAATCTGAAAAATCAGCCACACGTATTTCAAGTTCCTCGATGCATTTTCATACATCTATAACCACATTAATGAAGCATCATATTTTAAGAGTATGACACAGAAAGCCCAATTAGTTACCACTTCTTTACAAAAACAAAATACAAAAAAAATAAAGAAGTAGTTAGGGTAGAGATGTACCTTATAAACAAGAAAGAACAACAAAAACCCTTCATCTATAAGAAATCAGAACTCATGGCAGAAGTGATATCTTTTATTAGACCAACTATATATTTGCAAAAAAAAAAATCTTTACTTGCAAGCTTTTCAGCGCGCACACCCTTTTTCAGGCCTAGGTGAATACAACGATTGTAAAATTTCTCCTAAATGAAATATGAATTTTCAATTTCACAGGACAGCTTAAGGTGTTGTAAGATCTCCAGGTGCAAATTAGGCTCAGATAAGTTAGAACAGCCTTTTTACCTCAAAGTTGTCTGGTGGTATGATACAGCTATAAACTGCTGTCAACAAGCAAAATGACCCCGCCAGATTATTGTATCGAAGTGTTAAGTGATGCAACCATTGTAAATAGTGATGCGGTGGCGGAGTGTATCAGCAATTTGACCCAACATGCGAGCGGTGTGTGATCAGGGAGTGATCACCTGTGGTCTAGCCAATCAAAGACCACCTAATGGGCATGGCTGGCTGGCCAGCATGTCCATGGGTTCCAGAATGTACCATCAGGGGAGCTTCCTGATTGGCTGAAAAAGTTATATAGGGGACCGCACGCCTCGGCGCGTGGTCCCCAGGCTCTGACTCTCAAGGCGGATTGATCACCCGTCTTGGGGCCTGGTCAGACCCCTAGGTCTATAGCAGAAGCTGCTCCGGTCACTCCGAGCATTATAGTTTACTGCATCGCTAAATCCGGAACGCCCTGTACTTTGTCCCAACCAGACATCGTACTTGTATACTGCAGTCTCCACCCGTCACCCATCGCTTATCCCTTGTTGCTGTATATAGTTCACCGCCTCCAAGTTATATCACCCTTCAAGTTGTGTCGACAGTTCTGTAAGTAAATATCAAGTTTTATTTCAAACCCCATTGTCTGTGGTGCTTATCTCATCTCCCTCTCGCACTTGGCATCCCCGAGCGTGTCTGGGTTGGTGTCACCACCCGGTGCCCCACTCAACACGCAACTGCGGCCGTTTCCCAAGGACCATCCGGGAATCGTGGCCCACACCTGTATACCTGAAACATGGAAAATATTGAATTTTAGCTATTTTTTAAACTGAAAACTTCATAATTTTGTAACAAGGAAACAAAATGTACCATCTGGAAACCTGAAAGCTGACATCCTGCTCCTGCCTGTTGTTCAAACTAAATTTGCATTTTCACAGAACTTAGAGGCACCTCAATACAAAATAAATTCCTGCCCAGGAGAGCATTTCATCTCCCCACTCTCCTGTGAAATATGAAACATCATTACTAGAAGGAAACACAATTCTACATCCTGCTTGACACCACACAACTTCGAGGTAAAAAGACTGTTCCAACTTTTATCTGAACCTAATTTGCACAAAATGAACTATTCCAACCTGGAGATTTTACAATCCCATCGTCAGCTCTCCTGTAAAACATGAATTTTCATTTCCACCTAAGAGAAATTTTACAATCTTTGAATTCTCCTATGCGTGAAGAAGGGTGAATGTGCCCAAAAGCTTGCAAATAAAGACTTTTTTTGTAAATACCTAATCTAATAAAAGATATCACTTCTGCCACAAGTTCTGATTCCTTTTGCCTGTAAATCAGTATGGCTATGGGGTGTATACCCTCATCTCCAATTCATTTAATCTAACTTGATTAGAAAACTGAAAGCAGTTATCTCAGAATCTCTTCTTTCACAAGTAATCTATAAAGAACCTATTTTATAGCATCAAGAAATACTGTTATTCTGGGCATAAACAACACAGAAGAAGGCAATCAGAAGCTGGACATCCATGCAGGCTCAGTATTACTACTGCTGAACACAATATGTTTAAAATTAGGCACTGCTCTTGTGTTAACAATTTAGTCAGCTCTCAAATGACCCAATTAATTTCTTTCAGGCCAAACATGAAAATGGATTTAAAGAGAAACACTAAATTTTTAGCAGTGTCATAGAATCATGGAGTTGGAAGGACTTCAGGAGGTCACATCTAATCCCACCCCCTGCTCAAAGCAGGACCATCCCCAGCTGGATCATCCCAGCTAAGGCTTTGTCTAGCTGGGTCTTAAAAACCTCCAAGGATGGAGATTCCACAACCTCTCTGGGTAACTTGCTCCAGTGCTTTACTATCCTCCGAGGAAGAAAGTTTTTCCTAATATCTGACCTACATATTCTGACACTCTTTACACCATGACTAAATGTGGTTCAGGGTATGGGCATTTCAATGCATGTGTTTCTGCACACTGATTTTAGTTATGTTACATTAAGCTTTATTTACTTGTGTATTAAAAATTAACATTCATATTTTGGGATACATGTACAGTCTTTATAAACTATTACAGATTGGGGTTAATAATGTTAGCTGTTATCTTTCAATCCCAACCCACTCAGAACAAAGATATCCTAATATATATCATGATTTGTTGGCAGATTCAATCTCTAACCGTTTGTTGGCTCATGAAGGAAGATTTGAAGAATATCTTTTACTAAAATCACAACAAGTGCTAGTGACTGCTTAACACATTTGTGAGGGAGTAGTGTCAAATACTGCTACTTTATAAAACGAGACAGTGAAACAAATAGCTATCATACAGCAGCTAAGCATAAAACACTCCAAAAAGGTGAACTTTATCATTTCCATTTACAGATAGAAAAACTAAGACACACAAAAAAAAAATTAACTGCCCAAGGTCAAAACGAGAACCAACACCCATCTCTTTACTCTCAAACCTATGCTCTAACCACCAGACAACAATTTTAACTGCAATACAGTTAAATTGTAATATTTAACACATTATTATAGTCTGAAAAGTCATTATTTAAATAAATCTTCCTTCAATGCTATATATACTTTACACAGAAGTCATCATAATACAGTTTATTTTTATCTTTGTAAATTATCATGCTCACTATTTCGTACGGATCCTGCACACACTGAGAATTTTATAAAATGGGGGTCAGCCCATGCACTGAATCTACATATACTGCACCATACTTGTGTGATACAGCATCAAGAAAATCACTGTAGTCATTCATACAGTCATTTCACTATTTTTATTTTTAATCAAAGACCTTGAAAGTACTTATTCAGGTGATTAGTCAGATGGGTCCCAACTGTGTGTGTGTTTGTGGGATTAAATCCTACAGAAGTTACACATACTATGGTGTAGTTAAACCATAAATAATTTCTCTGCTAATAATAACCAAAGACATGAGGCCAGTGTTACTTAAAGCTACACCAATGAGTACGCAGCTTCTAACAATAAATGTGCATAGAAAAATAATACAATGACATTCTTACTTCGATCACACTCTTCTATTGCCAGGGCAGCTTGAGATGGTTTTATATACTTCACATAGCCCAAACCTTTACTTTCTCCTGTGTTCTTGTTCTTAATAATGCTGCAGTAGTCAATATCTCCATATATCTAGGATAATTAAAGAGTTAAGTTATTAAATAGCATTTTACAAAACAACAGATTTTTAATCTCTTCTGACAAAAAAATAAAACGAAAAAAATTCAATTAGAAAAAATAATTAACTAGGTGTCAATTAGTACCTTAAATTTATCTCGCAAATCTTCCTCCGTATAGGACTTCGGTATCATAACAAAAATTCGTGTAAGTTCTTCATCTTCAACATCTCGGTGGCTTCCAGAAGCTCTAGACTGCGCAATTAATACCTAACAGAAGAATTAAATAAAGCATTAACTATCAGACAAAGAGACAAATGCATGCATGGATAAGCAAGACAAATAACTGGATGCTGTCAAAAAGCTCTGCATATTTTCCCTACTCCTGAAATAAAAAGCACAAAAGACTGTCTAGTATCAGCATTCATGACAAAATACCTGCTACTGCAACCAGTGTAAGCCCCTCCAGCCAGGAACCCAGCTGAGAGAACAATCCTTCGTACATTTTAGGTAGAATAGAGGGGAACGGACAGAGTGCCTGGCCTGGCTTACTGTCAGCAGTGCTGCTATCATAGCTGCCCCCTAAGAATGTGCCGCAGTAACAAAATGTACTGCTATTGAAGTCCATCCATGATTCTAACCACATTTAACAATTTTGTGTTGATGCTCTCTTTGCTTTAATGAGAGTCTGTACATTTATTGATTGATTGCTCAGTCGCTATGCCACCTTTCCCATAAGCCTCAGGGCATCTTACAATAAAAGCATGTTGCATGCAATATAGGAGAAATTAGGCCTTGTTCTTAACTATACTTCTAATAATATTATTCATTTCTATTGCATCCTTCAGAGGATTCCAAGGCAAATGCTTGGATGGGAAGTAAATCCATCCAAGGTCATCCTGTAGCAGATGGATCAGAACCTGTTCTTCTAACTCCCAGTCACAAGCTCTATTAAAAACCATCCTGCCTATCTGCATGACTTGCTGTGAACAAGTAACCCTTCCTGACTGTCTAGGCTCATTTATACTTAGTTCTGATAACAAGAAAACAAGTCAACAGGCAGAAAACCTTTGATTCCACTCACTCGCACAAGTCTTAAGAACTTCCACAAATCTTGCTCCTGAAGTGCCACACTTCATCAGTGAGGCATCCCCTGGCCTTAAAATCCAACCCAGGAGTGTCAAATATACAGCCCACTGGACCAACCCCATGTTCGGGCCCTGTGTGCTGCACATGATGTGTGGGCTGGACCTGACACTGCATGCACTACAGACGGTCCTAGGTGCTGCCAGCCCCAGGGGTTGCAAGCACAGCAAGCCCCGGGGCCAGTGCATGCTGCACGTGGTGTGCAGGGCTGGACCAGCCGCACACAATTCATGCAGCACAGGGGGTTGGCACAGGGCACGTCTCGCATGCAGCACCCAGCCAGACTGGCCCTGCACACTGGCTCCAAAGCCGGTCCAGCTCCCTGTGCCAGGGGCTGGTCCCATGGGGTGGAAAGTTTGACATCCCTGCCCTAACCCATTTAAACAAAGAAAAGAAGATAAAAACTCATCTCGGGAATCTTATCTTTCCCTGAGCTTCCTCTTGCAGATGCAGGGTCATCTTTCCCTCCCTGTTTCTCTCTCCCCATCCTTTCCTGCACTGAGGAAGAGGCAAACAGGCAGTCTGACTACAGACAGGCCAGGAGAAATACTGTCAAATCCACAGAAACAAGCGCAGCGTGGACAAGCCTTGGCTCCAAGGGGCTACTTGTGGCAGTGGCGGGTGACGCGGATCAGCAGGGAAGTGTCTGAACCCCCGAGGCCCAGCGGGGACCAGCCTTGCACTCATGGAGAGGAAGGAAGTGAGGAGAAGCGGGGCGCCAGCTCTCCAAGCCCCGACCCCGATCCCCACTCCGGTCTGCCCAGGCGGGACCAGGGCTTTGCCACGTCCATAAGAAAGCAGCATCCTTGACACGGGTAAAAGCCACCGTGCCGTGGCCACGGCCTGCTCGTCTCGTCCCTCGCCCCCGAGCGCGGCGGCCCCAGG